GGGCTGAAAAGGGAGGCTGGGGCCAGGTCATGCAGAGCCTTGCCAACCAGGGCAGCGTGATAGAAGCTAGTAGTGTGATGGAAGCTAGTAGACAGTTCTAAGCAGGGACACGAATACTCTGTTTATGGTCTTAAACAAATTCTCAAAAAAGAATTGAGATGTATAAATGAATTGCTATGTTGTACACCAGAAACTAACACAACATTGTAAATTAACTATACTTTTAAAAAGGGGGGGGGGTGTTGAAAAGCCTGGAAGCACCAAGCCTAGTTCAGAGGCTTTTGCTACAGTTTGGGGAGAAATGACAGTGGTTCCGATCAGGGTGAGGGTAGTGATGGGGTGGTAAGCGGACAGACACAGAAGGTACTGAGGAGGTAAGGCTCAGAGGACGTAATGAGAGGCTGAAAGTGGAGAGGGGAGAGACAGGGAGGAATCTGAGAAAACGTAGGTTTTGATCTGGAGCATCTGAGGGTACAGTGGTAGCACATACTGCTGACGAGACTGAGGCCGGAACAGGTGTGGTGTGGAAAGACCAAGGGCTCCCTTTGGGATGCATCTGGACTGAGATGCCTATGACACAGCCCATTAGAGAAGTGTGGTAACAAATGGATACCTGAGCCTGCAAGTCAAGGGAGAGGTCAGGACTGGAGACGTAAATTTAAAAGTCAGGAGTATATTACGGTCTGTAAAGTCATGGGATGGTGTGAAGTCACTTAGGTGAGGAGGAGAGGAGAGCCCAGGATGGAGGCCAGCATTTACTAGGGGGGTGGGAGGAAGATGGGTAGCCTTTTATAGGAGAGAGTATGAGCTGCCAAGAAGGGAAGAGGGTGAGTGAGGAGCAGGGCTGTGGGTGGGGGTGGTAGGCATATAAGCCAAGAGAGGAGAGTGATGTAGAAAGATACTGGGATCAGTTATGTTTACGGGAGGTCAAGAAAGATGAGGGCAGAGAAGTGATCATGAGATTTGGTCTCCTGGACATCTCTGGCTATTAATCAGTTAATTTAAGTGGAAACAGTTAGCAGAGTGCCTGGCACATAGGAGGTTCCCATTGCACATTTCCTGGATGAAATCAATCACGCATGTGAACACCATGCTGTGTCATGACACAGGGTAGGTTCCTTAGTTGCATCTTTATTCTGTCATAGTTTGGACAAACCTGCCTCACTCCTCTCCAACCCTGGAGGTCCCATCCTATGGAGAGGGCGTGGCCCAGGCTGGGGACTTGGGGGAGATGAAGCTGGCCATGGCGGGTCTTGAAGTCCAGGGTAAGGAGCCAGGCTTCCTTTTAGCAGCGGTGATGGGCAACTCTGCGGTACCCATCGCCTTGCACTGGCTCCACCAGTGAGTCTCAGACCAGACTCATTGTATTCCAGCAGCAAAGCCCTTCCAAACTGACAGATCTGCAGCTGGAGACTATGCCACAGGAATTCCCTCCCTCGGGTGAAACCCAGGCAGGCCTGCTGTCTGGGGGATGTTCGGCAACAACCCTGCAGTGCACTTGAACCTGCCTGTCATGGACCCGGTGTGAAGACAATCAGACTTTTCCATGCTCTAGAGAAAAGATACAAGCACTTGAAGCCTTAAAGTCTGAGATGTTTTAGTGAATAGTGTAGTCATGGGAGAAACAGCTTGATTTCCAATGCAAATGGGGCAAAGTTTGATGCCTGATCTAACAATCTAAGTCAGAAATTCCATTTTCCTCCAAAGGTGTATAGAGTAGAGTGGAGTGGATGTTAGTTTTGAAGCCCTTCTGGATGTCAGTTAAGTCTCACAGCAGCCAAATAACATTGGTTTCAGTTACTCCAATTTACAGATGAGGCACAGAGAGGTGAAGGAACTTGCCCCAGCTCACAGTGAAGGAGCCAAACTTTGAACCCAAGTCTGTCTGCTTCCAAGAGAAGAATCCATTCTTCTCATTCTTCTCCTGGGTATTTGGCAGTAGGAGAAAGAGCATGATCTTTTTCTGACATCCAGGAGGATAATTGCATGGGACCCTTTTATATAATCTCCATGGGCTGGATTCCACGCCCAGCAGTTTCCAATGGCAGAATTGACTCTGCTCTTGCACAGAACAGGAAATTCACTGTCTCATTTGTCACCTTCATCTACAAATTTAATTGCTAGGTCCTGGTTCTATAGGCCACTAGATCCCTTACGAAACCTACGGCTCATTCCCCAGACCTCTGATAGAACGTGTCCAAAGGCATCAGCTGAGGCTGCAGCTGCAATGCATCTTAAAACCTCTGAGGTTTGACACAGTTTCCAAAAGGGGTTCAGTGTTGAGTAGGGGCATAATTAACAGTGTTTATTTCAGGGAAGCTTGGTTAGGTTAAAAAGACAAGGCCCTTTATTAAACTGCTTTTGCCGGATGACAGGATTACAAACACAACCAGACACACACCCTCTGCTCCTGGAGAAAAGCCAGACACTTGATACAAAGAGCAGAACTCCTGGAAACCTACCTCCCCCCTGCCCATCCAACGTCGACCCCATTCAGGCTTAGCAGCAGCGAGCAGCAGAGCCGGCGAGGCCCAAACCACAGAGCAAAAATAGAATCCCTTCCCCCTCTGCCTCATTTCCATTTTTGATTAATTCAACCAGTTCTGTCAAATTAGTCATCCTGGAGACTCCAGTTGAGTGGATTTTCCTAAGAATGGGAAAGCTGATTAATTTTGGAGGCGAGTGTCATTCATTAGCAGTTGACACTTTCCCAGGTCCTGCCCTCCCCCGCCAGGGGTCTTGGATAAGAAGGCAACGGAGGCTGAAACTGGCTCAGACCTGGGGCTGCAGCCCCAGAGGCACACACAAGGGGAAAGGTTGGCCGTGAGGTTGTAGGTGGCTCTGGCTGCTCTGGGCTTGGGACGTCTCAGGGCCACTTGCCTGTCATCGTTGTCCGTGACAAGCCATCACTGGCAAAGCAGTCACACACACTGGGTAAGCATTCGGAATTTGAGGTTCAAGAGAACCTCGGTCAAGGGAGTAGCTGGGAGGAAGTTTCCCCAGGGAGGAGCACTGACCTGACAGCCTAGGGAGGGCTCTGGCCAGGGCAAGATGGGTCTCACAGTAGTCTGTCCCTTCCCACCCAAGGGAACGTCGCAGTTCACCTCTTCTTTGTTTTCGTTTCCTGGCTGCTTGAACAAATTACCACAAACTTAGTGATGAAAAACAACATAAATGTATCATCTTACAGTTCAGAAGTCTGACGTGGGCCTCGGTGGCTAAAATCCAGGTGTTGGCAGAGCTGCGTTCCCTTCTGGAAGCTCCTGGGGAGAATCTGTTTCTTTGCCTTTTCCACCTTCTTGGGGCTGTCCACATTCCTCGGCTCGTGGTCCCTCTCTCCATCTGAAAGCCAGCAACCATGGGACAGGTCCTTCTCACATCCTACCATCCAGACTCTCCTCTTCTGCCCCCTTTTTCCCCTTTTAAGGACCATTGTGATTACATTGGGCCCAGACAGGTAATCCAGACTAATCTCCTTAGTTTGAGGTCAGCTGACGAGCAACTTTAATTCCATCGAATTCTCCTTTGCCAAGAAAGGTAACCTATTTGTGGGTTCTGGAGGTTAGGACGGGGGACATCCTTGAGGAGTCATTATTCTGCTCACAATCCTGTTCAAGTTTCACCAAGTAGGACTCAGTGCCCTCCATCAGAGCACCTGATACACTAGGTGGAAGCAATCTGTTTCCATTTCTGTCTGTCTCACTAAGTGGTTCCACTGTTACGGCTAAAGCTCTTTACTTCTGCCTTCTACACTTAGTATGGTGAAGGTGCTAAATAAATGCTTGCAGAACGGCTCTAGTTGTGCATTTTGATAACTCTGCACCTGGTACTTCTCTTGACACGAAGAGGCTCTCACTAAAGAGTGGCTGACCCCATCCATATGTACTCAGTCCTAGCTTTGGGAATGCTTTGGCATTTGTAGGCAAAGCAAAGGGACAAAGAGTCTATGAAATGATGGTAACCAACCTACTATTCATTTATTTCACAAATATTTATTCTTGCTACTATGAGCCAGGTGCCATTCCAGACACTGGGAAAATGGTACGTCCTGCCTCCAGGTAGATGGAGACAGACAGCAAACACAGAGGTAAATAAGAGAATGTATGAATTGGTGACAGGTGTTTCTGGAGAAGCAGCGGCAGCCAGTGCAGAGGTTGTGAACCTAGGCCTGTGCTTGGCAGGTCAAGTGGCAGAAGGAAAACCACTTTGGCTGCCTGTAGGGTCGTGAGAAGGAGCAGCATGAGGGGAAGTGGGAGGAGGAGGCTGGTGGCCCAGATCACTCGACGGCTGTACACTGAGGGTGGTCACCTCGAACCACCCCGGGGCCTCACGCCTGTTGGACTCTATGCAGAGGACTTGGGAGCTAGGTAACATGGCAGCCCTGTAGGCCAAGGTAAGGAATTTGGCTCTTACTTAGGAAAGAAAATCTAAAGGGTTTTGTGTAAAGAAGTGGCATGATTATACCTGTAAATACATCACTCGGTGGCTGTGTAAAGAATCAAACATCAGGAGGAAGAGGGTGCTGGGAGGAGAGTTAGAAAGCCATCAGAATGGTCCAGGCAAGGGATGGTAGCGGCTTAGACTACAATGGGCCAATCTGGGTTACACTTTGTAAAGTTAACAGGACTTTAAAAAAAAAAACAAACTATAGATGTGGAAGGTGAGGTTAAGGGAGGAATACAGGATGACTCCCAGCTTTTTGGCCTGAGCACACGCCTCGATGAAGGGCACTGAACAAGTTGGCAAAGAGAAGGGGAGGGACAGTGTGGGGAGGAAGCTCACAGATTCCATGGACTGGAAGATTTATGTTAAAATAGAAAGCATAAAATGATTAAATTGGTACCTTGTGCTGTTTAGCACTTAACCATCTACAGAACCCTTCTCCTCTATTATCTTAATTGATCTGTATAAAACCCCTGGAGTTCAGAGTATTCTTTCCTTTTTATAGCTTTTGGAAATCAAGGCCCAGAAATGACAGATCTGATACACTGACAAAGATCACAGGTTTCTCGTGGTTTTATTTCTTACTTCCTTTCATGAAGTCAGCCACCTTCAGTGCTTGCCCAGCACTGGGGGATGAAGCAGGGAATGGGGACTCGCTCTCGTGTGTAATTGACACACGCTTAAGTCTATTGGCTTATTCAAGCCCCCTTTGCGGTTCACGTAATTGTATTTTGACAGCTCTGTAGGTGGCATCGACAACTGAGTTGTGAGATCTGCTGTCCACTCAGGCAGCTTCCAGCGCCATCCGTGTGGGTCTCTTTTTCTGCTGAATTACTCCAAGCACCTGCCGGCGTCCTGTATCAGCAAGCACAGCCCAGCGGCAGCAGAGGGCAGGGGAATGCCCGCCCCCAGGAGGCTTACAAAGATACTTGCTTTTATCCTCCCTTTTATCTTTAACCTGAACATAAGATTTTTAAATAGGATTTATCTCATGGATGGTCATCCTTAATCCTGGGGTTCGACTAGTTCATCTTGAAATTCTGGTGTCGTGAGAAAACCCCTGTAATGTAGTGAAATTGTCATTTGAAGAGTTACATCTGAGAAACATGGGATCATCACACTTTGGAAAAAAGATGGTTAGATAAGACAAAGCAAGGAATGGGACCATAAATGTGAGCCCAGTGTTGGGCTGAACATGATGGGACGGACAGACTTATAAAGATGCAGTTACTGCTTCAGTGCAGTTGTCATGGTGGAACAAGAGGATATGAAATTATGGAAGGTTTCTGATACAAAGTTCATTTTAAATTGAAAGTGAAATTTAGATCCCCAGCATCAGAGAGAAAATGCCAACCTCATGGTGTTTACGCTGAATATCGTGTTAGCTGTTAAAATGAACTGTGATGTCAAACGTTGTCAGTGTATCCTAGGTGTTCCCCAAAGTTTTGACACATAGCATTTTTCAGTCCCTGTTTACTGAGAATCTTCTGTATTCATGTCATTGTCAGGGCAGAAAAGTACCAATATGTATTACTACAACACATGGTTGCCTGCCCCTAGGAAGGTTGTTAGGTAGCAGAAGCATTCCTGGGAGTGCACCTGAGGTATAATGGAGGCTACTAAATCATACTGAATGAAGGAACAAACGAACGAATGAATGGGACATATTTATAAAAGATCCAAGATCAGATCAGATGTGATATGTGTCTCACAGTACACTAGTGCTATGATTCTTAAACCAGGTGTGTAAATGAAGGCATCGGTGTTAGCTTTTTTCATAAAAGTGAAAATCCTCTTTGGATTTCTTTTAGTTAGGTTAGCAGAAACAGGGACTAGTGTAGGTCTCAGGTAAAAGCGGAATGGCACAAAGCGAATATTCAAAAAGCAACGGATGCCCTGCACATTGTAGTGGCCTACTGTGTTGGTTCTAAGGTCAGACACACCCAGTGTGGGTAACTTGAACTGAGCCTCTGGCACTTGCACTTAACCTCTCTAAGTCTCAGTGTCTCACTCTATAAAATGGGAACAAGAACAGAGCGTGCCTAATTGGATTGTTGTAAGGATTCAACAGTAGTGTTTTATTCTTATCACAGCAATGCATGAGTGCAGAGTTACAGATGTGGAAATGGAGACTCAGAAAAGCAAGTAATTTACAGGAAGTCAAGGACGGAATCATGGGGAGAGCCTAGACTGAAACCCAGATAGAAAGCCCATGGTTGAAGCTGTTGATGGATAATTAGATAATGCCAAGAAAGGCTTTCCGTCTCCACCACGCTGGGCCCGATGGGGGAGGCAGCTGGTAGACCAGGTGCTAGGCGAGCAGAGAACAGCACCGGCATCTCTCTGGTGGAGTCTTGCTTTCAGGAAATCAACATGCGGTGGTCCCCTGGTTTCCTGAGCACCTCCTGGGGGTGACCCAAAGCGCGTGGCATGAGCACTGGTGGAGATGGAGGGATCACAAGGAGACCAGGGTACAGACAGTCCCTCCTTCCCCATGACCAAGCCATTAAGCAGAAGTGCTTGCTGAGGGATCAAGCCTGTATTTTCTCCAGTGATTACGACGTGTGTCCCCTCTCTGCATCCGAACACGGAGGCTTCAAGGTCCCAGAGGCCTGGAGCCGGGGGGAGGGCTTAGCAGGAAATAAGGCGCTCAGTGAATTTGATGACTGTTCTCCACGTTGCCCCTAGTGCGTTGTGCTGGATCCATAAAGAGACATCTCCGCCCTGGTTAATTCTCTGTGACTGGGGAGAGCATACAGCTAATGAAGTCCAAATCAGAGGTTTAATCCTTAGACCCAGTTCAATTCATTTCACTGGGACCATGCCCTCAGAGGTAGGGGCTCTGTCTGTCAGCACCAGGTTGAATGGGGAGGGGGGCGCAGAAGTGGGCTGCAGAACCAGAGCTGGATGTACATCCTGGCTCTGTCTCTCCCTGGCCCGTGACAAAGACCGATGACTCTCTGAGCCTCCTTTCTGCATCTGCAATGCAGGCATGTTGCGAGAGTGAAATGGAGTATCACATCCATGGTGTCAGTGGATGGGAGGCTATTACTCCATCTCCCACAACATGGTAGCTACTACCAGTCCACGTAGGCAAGTTCTAGGAGAATTCAGACACAGCGCTGACTATCAGTGAGTTAGAAGCAATGTTTCCCTGTAGAAGGCTGGCACTGAGGACACAGAGGCACAGCACCGGAGGCATGAAAGGACAATGAAGCAGTGACCAGCCTGCACCAGCATCCCTCTGTGTGATGCTGGGCCCGTGCTAAGGTGGACCCTCCTCGCCCTGCTCTGCCAGGAGATTACTATCAGCAGGGAGCTGCTCCCCTCTCGCTTGCCATGTTTATGCCTCTGACTGTGGTGATTATATAGACAGCCTAGAAAATGGACAGCCTGCATCTTGGGAGTGCAGCCCTGGCCTCGCGGTGCCATGACAACCAGCTTCCCAGCAATCACCCCTAATAACGGCCCCACACTCACAGTCTCCTCCACCTGGGCAGAGGCTCCCCAGGGGGTTTGAGCTTCTCCTGGAGCAGCTGCACACAGCTTCCTATTGGAAACACATTATGAGAGAGAGCGAGCGAGCAAGCAGGAAGATGAGCAGTCTACCCTATGATGTACAGAGTGGTCCCAGGGACCTGGGGACACTGCCATCCTGTTCCTGGAGCTCACTGCTGTAGGAACATATAACCCCACAGCAGGAGTCACACAGCCCCGTGGACATCTTTACCGCTCACCTGCCCCACAGAGAGAGGGACATCACAGAGTGAAAGAGCACATACGAGGGCCAGTTCATGAAGCTAGGCTTCGCTGCTACCAGATTTCTTCATTAGGCTCCTGGCGAGACACCCACAGCCACTCATCTTGTCTGGACTGGAGCCGCCCTTTCTGGCTGCCTGCTGGGAGCAGGGTGCTCAGAGCCCTCGTGTATCTTTCCAGCATGACAGTTCTCAAGAAGACACCTGCCCTACTGGTCTAATGAATGATTAATTCTCACATAGGAAGAACAGTCCGGTCCCCAGTGAGTAAACTTACCTGTGGCTATTAGCCCCAATTCAGCCTTTAGATTGACAGGTAAGCCCTCAGCCAAACAGGTTCCAGCCTCTTCGCTCTTAAGATCACAGGTTCTAGCTGAAGGTCCTTCATGAGAAAGGTCTAAACCCCAGAGCTACTGAGCCCTTAGGATGCTGACCTCACCCTGGGAGCACATGGTCCTTGGGGTCCCAGTCTCTCCACGCCTCCCTTACGTCACCAGTGAGATGGCACTCATTCTCACCCTGGCAGGGCTCTTGTTCTCACTGGTGCCGCCTTCCTGTGGATCCCATTCCCTGAACTAGAATTGCTTGTAAATTCTAAACAAATATATATATTTTAATAATATGGAAGATGGCCAAATTGATCGGTAAGAGGAAGGAAAGGATATCGTGGGCTGAGGTGATCCAGGAAGGCTTCCTGGAAGAGGCAGTGAACCCTGATAGGTAGATAGGAGTCAGAGAAACGAGAGCAAAGATAGATGGTATTCTGGATTGATTGTTGGTAGTCACCAAAGTATATGCTGATATCCTAACCTATGTGATGGTATTAGGAGGTAGGGGCCTTTAGCAAGTGATTAGGTCACGAGGGTAGAGCTGTCATGAATGCAACATGTGTGTCCACGGGGACACAAGACCCAGCACAGGATCCTCACCAGAAGGGTCTATGACCATGCTGGCACCCTGCTCTCAGACTTCCAGCCTCTGGAACTCTGAGCACTCTCTGTTGTTTAGAAGCTGCCTGGTCTGTGGTGTTCTGTGATAGCAACTCGATAGAGGGGAGGGAGCAGGGATCAGGCCCCAGCACATGCGAAGTGCTCCAGAAACATCTGCCACCATTCATACAGCATGTAAACCAGAGGTCACATACTACAGTCTGTGTGGCTCACAGGTGACTTATGTTTGACCACATACTAAAAATCTATACTTGGTTGCTAACAGTGAAACATCAGTGCTCCTCAGAAAAAAATTTAGACTTTGAGACGCTCTGGCTGTGCTGGACCCACATTCCTGGTGCTGAGCGGAAATGGGGTGTGGACACTCTAGTTTGCCACACTCGCTACCCCTCCCTGTTGTGTACCCATGTGTGCTATGTTTGTTTCACTACCTGACTGGCCCCTGGAGGCAGGAATTCTCAGACCCTGGTGCGAACGATAAGTGGGCCAGTCAGGTTGCAGTGAAGAATCTGAGAAGGAGAGAAGTGGGGAGTGACATCGGAGTGCTGATCTAAGGCTGGATGTGAAGGGCCTTGAATGCCGGGCTCAGTGGGTGGGATGGGTGGCTATTGGCAGTTGGGAGTCACCACGGGTGTCTGAGCAGGGAAGTGGCGTTGCTTTGGGGAGAGTTATCCGGCACACAGTAGGACCACATGCAGTCTCCTGTTCTCTTGCTAAATCTTGATGGTCTGTGAGCTGCCGGCTTGCTCTGTCTCTGCATTTGCTGTGTTACAGTGTTCCTGGACCGTGTCAGCCCATGGGTGCAGCAGCAGCAGTGGGATGCCAGGAGGAGAGGGCGGCCGAGCTGCGTTGGGTCACCAGCTCCCTGGGAAGGGGCAAACCTGTCCCAGCCTGCTCGGGCCAGCCTCCCGGGCCAGCTGGAGAGGAGCAGCTGCTGAGGGGAGCAGGCTTTTCAGGGACCTCCAGGGAGAGCGAGCTACCGCCAGCACCGGAGACATAAGAGCAGCTTCCCTGTGGCCCGAGGGAGAGCTCCTTAGCCCTGTCCGCTCCTCTGTGGACAGTACGGGGAGGGAGGAGTGTTCACTTCCCGTTGTTACGGTAACAGGTGACAGCACACTGAGTGAACCTGGTGGCCTAAAACACTGGGAAGTTAGCATCTTAAAGTTGTGGAGGTCAGAAGTCTAAAATGCGTCTCACTGGGTCTGCAGGGCTGGGTTCTTCTGTGGCAGCTCAGGGGCGGGGGCAGTCTGTTTATTACCTTCTCCAGATTCTGGAGGCAGCCCACCTTCCTTGGCTGCTGGCCCCTTTCCTCCGTCTTCAAAGCCAGCAATGGCCGTCGAATCCTTCTCACAGCGCATCCCTCTGACCCTGACTCTCCTGCCTCCTTTCACTTGTAAGGACCCTTGTCATTACGCTGGACTCAACCAGATAATCCAGCAGAATCTCCCCGTTTTCAGGCCAGGTAGTCAGCAAGGTCAGTTCTCCGCCACGTGACATATTCACAGGTTCTGGGGATTACAGTGTGCGCATCTTTGGGGGGTAGGGGTGGAAATGAGCCACTTTTCTTCCTTTAAGGGGAAAAAAAAAGCCCCCAGCTATGGTAAGTAAGTGGGCCCGCTCCTTATTGAAGGAAGTGCCCAAGAGCGTGGGGCCTTGTCGTTATAGCTCAGTCTTGTAAACCCAGCACCTAGCAGAGCGCCTCGCCCTACTGGGCAGCCAGTACACGTTGGCTGAAGAGTGTGTGACACGGGTGCTTGTGGACCTCTGGTCGTGTGCCGGGCACTGCACTAGGTGGATTCTTGCAACTATGCAAAAGGGGACTGGATATCTGCATTTTTCAGATAATGAAGCTGGGTCTTAGAAAGTGTGAAAAAATGACGGACAATTCAGCCTGTAAATGGTGGGGCACGGGCTCTAGCCCAAATGTGTCTGACTCTGAAGTCCGTGAACATCTCCGGCACCAGCCCTAGAGACACACCTTAGTGATTCTGCGGCTCTCTAAGCAATCATCTTATCCTCCAGCCTTTCCACATGTGCTCTCTCTGTGCTGCAGTCCTGGGGCCCCACTGTCCCCCGAAAATATTTTTTTTTCTTTTTTTTAACTTTATTTATTTTAAATGTCGGGGGGGCAGGTAATTAGATTTATTTATTTATTTTTGGAGGAGGTACTGGGGATTGAACCTGGAACCGCCTGCATGCTAAGCATGCAGCTCTGCCACTTGAGCTGTATCCTCCCCCACCCCGAAAATGTATTTATGACCTCAGGCCTTGTACTCGTGCTGATTCCCCTGTCTAGCATAGGAAGCACCCCCCAGGCCCCCCAGACGTCACCATCGGGAGTCAGCGGACTACAGTCTATAGGCCAAATCTGGCCTACCACCTGTTTTGGCACAACTCTAGCAAAGAATAAGGTTTTTACATTTTCTAATGGTTGAACAAAAATTTTAAAAAGCATGCTGTTCCGTGACACATAAAAACTAGCTGACATTGACGTTTCCATGTCCGTAAGCAGAGCTTTATTGGAACACGCGCTCATCTGTTTCCGTGTTGTCTGTGCTGCTTTCACGCTACGGAGGCAGAATTGAGGAGTTGCAAACGGGACCAAACGGCCCCCAAAGCCAAAAATATTTCCTATCTGGCTCTTTACTGGAGAAGTTTGCCGAGGCAGAATTGAGGAGTTGCAAACGGGACCAAACGGCCCCCAAAGCCAAAAATATTTCCTATCTGGCTCTTTACTGGAGAAGTTTGCCAACCTCTGATCTTTCTGGAGCTTACTGACCATTCAGGGTTCAGCTTGTTATTAAGCCTTCCATGATTAGACCAGCCCAGATCACAGCACACCAGACTGTCTCATCATTTTTGCCCCCCCCCATGAATTTCTGGTCCAAAAATGGAAACAATTCTTGTCTGGATTAAGAAATTTCTTTGACATGTTATATGTTAACTTTGATGATTATATATTAAAAGACATGATATTTATGAAGTATAATACATGCAGAAGAGTGTGAAAAAAGTTTTAAAAGTCAGGGACCAGTGCAGTGTCTTCTAGATTAATTGCTCCTACTCTAGCATGCTATGTGTTGCATCGCTACAGTGTTCACTGTTGAACAATTATTTGTAGCCTTCATGACGGGCTGTATGAAAAATAAGCTGCAAAGGTTAAGCCACTGGGCTTCATTATGTCCCAGTTCAGAGTGCTCTGAGTCTTCATACAGTCTAAGTTCCAGTCTCCAGCCTGTGCCTGGGGACTGTGTTATTAGGCCCATGGAAGTACAGCAGGCACTAATTAAATCTTAAACTTCTTCTCTCCCGGTCCCCAGCTGGGTGAAGGCCAGTGTTCTTGGTCCACGAGCACGCTTAGCCTCCGTGGGAAAGTTGCTGGCCCTTTCTCTCACCAGGCAAAATGATTGGCTGTGTCTTCCGTTTAGTAGCAGTTACTGGCTGCATCTCAATCCGCGAGCCTTTCCTCTCCAGGGGCAAAGCTGTTGCCTGCCTATCTCTGAAGGAAAATTGCCATCTGCCTTACTCTGTAGGAAAACTGCCAGTTGTGTCCCCATTACAGGGAAATTGTCAACCACGTCCCAAACAGGAAAGCATGCCAGGTGTGCTTCTGCAGAGAAGACATGTCAGCAGAAGTCAGCGATTTAAAGCCTGGTGCGTGTATCTGAGCCTCTTCCTTTTCCCTCCCCCTCCCCAGTTGTCTTCACTCTCCCTCTCATCCGCCTGAGTCATCAGAGCCAGAGCGGTGGTCACGTTGTTCAGCACCAAATGAGAGGTGTTTGTACCGAGGAAGGTGTATTTCAGCTGACAGTCTAGAGACGAGCTACTGTGTGTCTAATGGC